TATATTCCTAGGTATATATCCAATATAAATGCATACAATATGTTCACCAAAAGACCTGTATTAGAATATTCATAGCAATGCTATTCAAAGTAGCAAAAACTTGAGACTTCCTAATTTCCCAGCAATTGTAGAATAGATAAATTGAAGTACACTCATACAGTGGAATACTATGTAGCAATAAGCATGAATGATCTATAACTATACAAAAGAATATCAAGAATAGCTATAAACATACTGTTGAGGGAAATAAGTCAGGAGCAACCATATATTTTCTTACATTTTTTTTTTACAGTAATCTCTTTGCCCAATGGGGTTCGAACTTATGACCCTGAGATCAAGAGTCACATGTTCCACTGACTGAGCCAGCCAGGCACCCCACATTCTTGTTTTTATGTGCAAAGAGCACAGGCAAATATAATCTGTGCTCTTAGAAGTTAGTGTTGTGGGGGCGCCTGGGTGGCTCAGTCGGTTAAGCGACTGCCTTCGGCTCAGGTCATGATCCTGGAGTCCTGGGATCGAGTCCCACATCGGGCTCCCTGCTCGGCAGGGAGTCTGCTTCTCCCCCTGACCCTCCCCACTCTTATGCTCTCTCTATCTCATTCTCTCTCTCAAATAAATAAATAAAATCTTTAAAAAAAAAAAAGAAGTTAGTGTTGTGGTTACCCTTGGGGGTTGGTGACCAGAATTGGAGAGTGGGCTTCAAGGATGCTGGTAACATTCTAGAATGCTAGTTACATGGGTGTGTTTTTTAATTTGTTTTAATTCATTGAACTACATATTTATAAGATGTGTACTTTCTATATATGTTTATTATACTTCAGTAAAAAGTTTAGGGGCATCTGGGTGGCTCAGTCAGTTGAGCATTTGACTTCAGCTCAGGTCATGATCTCAGGGTCCTGGGATCAAGCCCTGTGTCAGGCTCCCCACTCAGCAGGGAGTCTGCTTCTCTCCCTCTCTCTCTGCCCCTCCCCTGCTCTCTCTCTCTCAAATAAATAAATAAAATCTCTTTTAAAAAGTTAAAAAAAAAAAAGTAAGCCATTTATTATTTTCATTACCTATCCAAAATGTCCAAGGACAGGACTGATCTGTGATGTCATCAAGCACCCAAACTCCTTTCATCCTTCTGCTCTCCCATCTTCAGCATATGGCTTTTATCTGCATGATTGCAAAAGGATGCTCTTCCCCCAGGATTCTCGTCCTTGTTCCAGTCAGAAAGAAGGAAGAAGGGCCAAAAGCTTTCCCTTTGTGAGGTTTTGTCATCTCATTCAGAAGGGATTTATTTCCAGAGACTTCCAGTTACCTTTTTTGGCTAGAATTCTGCCCCACTGCCTCCCCTAATGTAAGTAATTCTGAGATGAGTATTATAGTTGGGTACATTACTGTTTCAAATACAACTGTGCTTTTCCTTAGTGAAGAAGAAGAGAATGGATGATGGAGAGGCATTAGCAGTGTATACTATAAGGCATAAGCACTCAAGGGTCTTACATTCTGGTGGGAAACATGGGGGTATTAACAGAAAATGTGAACCCAGTTTGGTAAGTCCTCAGTAGGAAGCACAAAGTGCTATGGGAATGGAGAGGAATTCTTGTGGAAGACTTACTTACTAAAGTAGAAAACACACCTTGAAGGCCATACCTTATAGGACCAATGGAAGTCCTCCAGGCAGAAGAGATGGAGAGGCTTTGCAAGCAGCATAAAAAGTGTATTTCAAAATTATCAGAGAACATAGTAGAAAGAGGGAATTAAATGTAGTTTGGTGTTCCTAAAGAAATAAGGGTAAGGTTGGGAGACCAAAGGTGTATCTACAAAGCAGATACAGGAAGAACTCTCTGCTTTCCTCCTTTCTGCCTGAAAGCAGGGCATTCATTTCCTTTTGTGAGGGTGTCTCCCCTCCCCTCTCCCATACCAGGAGGACAACCTTTATCACAGGAGATGGAAAGTCAGCATTAACTTTTTTTTTTTTAAGGTTTTATTGACTGATTTGAGAGAGAGGGTGAGCAAGAGAGAGAGAGAGAAGGAGCAGAGGGAGAGGGAGAAGCAGACTCCCTGTTGAGCAGAAAGCCCGATGCAGGACTCAATCCCAGGACCCTGGGGTCATGACCTGAGCCAAAGGGAGACACTTAACCTAATGAGCCACCCAGGTGCCCAGTCAGCATGAACTTGTATCTGCACAAGTAAACCTTACTAAAATAACCTTAATCTTCTATTCCTTTCCCCCTATATTTATTTACCTTCCCACAATGTCATTGCCCCTAGAAGCCCAAACCCCTTTTCCTTTGGTAACTTCTCCCACAACAGTATCACCCTTTGTTAAAATGGTAATATAAGCCCACAGGCCTACCTAACTGATTCTTGGGGTTTTCATTTTTTTCCTGTGAAGTGACCAGTGCATACAAATAGATCTTTTCTCCTGCTAATCTATTTTTTGCCAGTTTAATTCACAGGTCCCAGGCACTGAATATAAGAGATTAGAGGAAAAGGTTTTCCTCTCTTATGTATTCTACAATCTAGAATCCTGGCAGTCTTCCCAGACTCTTCTCTGACTCTCCTGTCTTATATCCAACTAATTACTGACAGTGGTGAGTTTTACCTGAACCCTATGCTTCTAGAAAACTGGCCAGTTAAGAAATACCCCCATTTTTTTTGTTTTCCAAAATCCCGTTACCTTTTGTGTTCTGGCAAAACAGCTAACTCTAAAGAACCACCCTATTCTCAGATATTCCATGAAAAGACCCATCTCTACCCTTCCTCACAACTCCAGTAAGATTCATGCATCCTTTGTTTTCCTACCTCTATAAAACCTCAGGTCCCTTTCCTTTTCTGAGACCTTCTTCATTAACAAACATGTTCTCTATTGCAATAGCCTGAATAAAATCATCTCAATTGTCTGGTGCCTTTTGTCTTTGACATCACTAAGTCCTCCTGATGCTATCTCTTCTATGGAGTGACTTCTGCAGATGCCCCCTCTTTGTGCCCACTGTAGCTCCCCAGGTCCTGTCCAGATTATTGCAGCACTAGATGGTTTTGAGAACTTCAGCTTTACTCTTCTCTTCATTCTTTATTCTGTTGCTAGAATGATCTTTCTCTCTTTTTTAAGTTTGTTTATTTATTTAAGCAAGCTGTACACCCAATGTGGGGCTCGAACCCACAACCCCGAGATCAAGAGTTGCACGTTCCTCTGAGCGAGCCAGCCAGGTGCTCTGCTAGAATGATCTTTCTAAAAAGCAAGTCATGACCTAATTTCTCTCCACTTTCTCAATCTAACTTTTAGACACACACACACACACACAATCCATGAGTGCACTGAACTACTTGGATGAAATACCACGCTTGCTTCTACCTCTTTGTCTTTCATATGCAGCCCACTTTATCCAAACCTGCTTCCTCCTTCATTTTCTGGTTGTTGCTCGTCCAGCTCAGGCATCCATTAACCTGGAAAAGCTATTTTGACCACCCCTTCACCTCAGTCTGGGAAGGTGCCTCTCCTATGTACTCCCAAAGCTTTTGGTACTTCTGCTATCTGCACTTTCCTCCTTTCCCTCCTTCCATCCCCCCCTTCCTTCCTTCCTTCCTTCCCACTCTGTATTGTAACGGTTGATTTATTTTCTCCCTCCACCAGTCTGTGAGCAACTTGAGGATAGAAACCTCATTTTACTTCTCTTTGCATTCCCAGAACTGGTAAAGTAACTGGCATATAATAAATGCAGGTCTTGAGTACTGTAAGTACTATAATACCAAGTGTCACTTAATCCTTACAACCACCTTGCTTCTCAGATATGCAGAAATATTTACATTTCTGGGGCGCCTGGGTGGCTCAGATGGTTAAGCGTCTGCCTTCGGCTCAGGTCATGATTCCAGGATCGAGCCCCACGTCGGGCTCCTGGCTCAGCAGGGAGCCTGCTTCTCCCTTTCCCTCTGTCTCCCCCCACTCATGCTCTCTCTCTCTGTATCTCAAATGAATAAATAAAATCTTAAAAAAAAAAAATGTTTACATTTCAGTAAGTTGAACAATGCATAAATTTTTTCATTTACATCCTTCTGCTAGTGTAGTTGATAATTTAAGTCATAAGAATATTCTTTTTCTCGTATCTGAAGCCCAAAAGATACAAGAATAGTTTCTGTATTCATTTAAAATGTTCTATCCAGATACAATTTAAGTCTTAAGGATCACCATCCCCCTCCATTGCAAAAAAGATGGCTCTGGTAGGAGCTACAGAGCCAAATGTAACAGAGGGTAGAGTGCTCAGGAATGGGAGGAAGCATTCATGAGTGCCCTCTTTTCTTTAGAGTTCTCTCTATTCTCTTCTTGTGATACCTGAGGAGTAAGGCAGGTTTGGGGATGACCTCCTTTGGGTATGTTCCCCATCTTCTCTCACTTTGGGAACTCCTAGGAGGTCCAGGGCAGAGTCTAGGGTGGGGGAGACAGGGAACGAATAGTTTTTGCAGGTATGGCCCTGGGCTTAGGGAAATATCTCTACATCATGGACTTACTTTCCCCCTGACTCTTTTGGTCAAAATTTAAAATCTAGAGGAGCAAGATCAGAGAGTGAATATCCAGGGTTAAAAGGTGTGATTACCTAGAAGATCTTCTCTGTTTAAATATCACTCATCTCTTTTTTCCCCCATACCTTTGCTTCCAATCCTGTTTCTAAAACAAAAACATTGCTTCCAGAGTTTACACAATGAGAGGTATCCCCTGTAGGAAAAGGCTGGGGGAGTCCTGAAGGAGAAAGACAGAGACAGGGAATCCTGGTCAGCCACTCTTCTCGTTATCAATCACTGTTTTGCCCTGCAGTGCTGGTTGGCTGAACACAGTCAGTCCCTGAATCAGCATTCTCTACTCTGACCCCTCCCTGAATCCGTAATATGATCCTCTGACATGTCTGGGTCAAAAGGTTTAATGAAGAAGCCAAAATGTAAGTTTTGGTTAAAGGATGATCATCATCTTTAAACAGAACCTTTGGTATCCACAGAAATACGCACAGAGCCAAGGACACGGATTTTCTTTTCAAAGAAAAAAATTTTTTTAATCTATTCCCAAAGCCCTAAATTACATCTTCGCTTAGATTTAATCTCCAGGAAGACATTTTTATCTTCCCTGGATCATCCTCTACCTCCATATCCTCTCTGGAGAGTCCCCTACATGGCTAAACCACATCTCCTCTCCCAGTGGTCTTTTCCATGTAATTTCTCCTTTGTGTGATTATTCCTACTTCATTTCCCACAGCCCTTTATTCTAGCACCTATGCATCTGTGAATAGTAGTAGAAAGTAGCTGAAGTTCAAGCCTGCTCATCTGTTACTCACTCACTAGTCAGTCAGAGAAATCACATTACTGGATTAAATGTGTTTTGCTTTAAGAGGCAGAAGAAGGCTGTCCAGTAATGTCACAGAGGATTAAGTTAGTCTCTTTCCAACTTCTATCCTGGGAGAGGAAAAAAAAAAAAAAAGAAGACATCATTATACTCAGAAAATCCTCACAAGTATAGCGGAGCCTTTTCTTACTCATTTATTTTAATTATTTTTTAAAAGTTATCTCTATGCCAATGGTGGGGCTTGAACTCACAACCCTGACATCAAAAGTCACATGCTCTCCTGACCGAGCTGGCCAGGCATGTCCTCGTTTTTTCCTATCTAGGAAAAAATCTCACAAATGCACGATAAGATTATTAATAGTGTTATCTCGGGGGAGTAGAATCAGGTAATCTTTACTTTTCCCATAGTATTTTTATAAAAAAGATGTAGAATGTAAAAATAATTTAAAAAATTCATTAATTTCAATCAGAAAAAAGATACAGTTTTTAAAAATCACATAGAGGGGCACCTGGGTGGCTCAGTTGGTTAAGCATCTGACTCTTGGTTTTGGATCAGGTCATGATCTCAGGGTCTTGAGATCAAGCCCTGTCAATGGGCTCCACGTGGGCTCAGCAGGGAGTCTGCTTCTCTCTCTCCTTCTGCCCCTCCCCCTACTCATGCTCTCTGTCTCTCTCTCTAAAATAAATCTTTAAAATAAAAATAAAAAAATAAAAATCACATAGAAGCCCTCACACAAATGCCACTATTAACTTTTTCTGGTGTGAGCTATGAAGATTATTATTCTTCCTTTCAGAATTTGGGACAAAAAATGGGGGTGCCAGGCTGGCTCAGTCAGTAGAGCACGTGACTCTTGATTTCAGGGCTGTGAGTTTGAGCCCCACGTTGGGTACAGAGTTTACATAAAAAAAAAAAAGTTAAAGACAAGAAAAAAAAAGGAAAGCCCACTTTCTATCAAAAATTAGCTTCCAAAAGACAATAACAGTAACTCAGAAGAAGGTCCCCTTAACTTCTGAATACTATCATCCTACCCTAAAAGCTCACCCTTACCTCATTCACAGGGGTCAGAGTACTGAATTGTTGCCCATTCATCTGTAAAATGAAATGACATGTATCATTACATTACAGGCCTCATGAATTCAAAGAGAAAATACTTCTTGAAAACTACTGCGTTAGCCTTTTTCAGAAGATTCCTATAGATTATGAGCATATTAAGAATTACAGGAAAGTTCCAAACACTAATATTGTGGTAAATTATTAATCACAGCAAAAATATTCAGAATACTTAGTCCTTAAAGAACAATGGTCCGTATTGTTCTTTTGGTCTATGGACCACATCTGATAAAATATCCCTAGTACAGAAGACTTAAGAATGACATATAATTAAATTATAATGTTTTAGGAGATCGAATAATGTAATTATGTTCTATTTGGCTTGGGGAGAAGTATTTGTAAAATTAAGAGTGATATCATGAAGAAAGAGGCAGAAATATGTTGGGAGACACAGGTAGATCTCAACCCTCACCTGGGAGGTAGTAGTCATAGACTGTGATGGTTGCTGGTTTCAGGTAGTGACCAACACACTTTGGCTGATGGTGAAGGTATAGGTCTGAGTCTTCTTACTCAGCTGTGGGGAAGAAAGACAAAACATCATATTAAAACTAAAGTGAAAATAGGGGCACCTGGGTGGCTCAGTCGTTAAGCATCTGCCTTTGGCTCAGGTCATGATCCCAGGGTTCTGGGATCGAGCCCCGCATCAGGCTCCCTGCTCCTCGGGAAGCCTGCTTCTCCCTCTCCAGCTCCCCCTGCTTGTGTGCTCTCTCTCTGTCAAATAAATAAAATCTTAAAAAAAAAAAAAACTAAAGTGAAAATAACACTCTCTATATGGAGGTTAAAAGACTCTTGTCTTGGGGCGCCTGGGTGGCTCAGTCGGTTAAGCGTCTGCCTTCAGCTCAGGTCATGATCCCAGGGTCCCTGGATCGAGTCCCGCATCAGGCTCCCTGCTCAGCGGGGAGCCTACTTCTCCCTCTCCCACTCCCCCTGCTTGTGTTCCCTCTCTCGCTGTGTCTCTCTCTGTCAAATAAATAAATAAATCCTAAAAAAAAAAAAAAAAAGAAATGAGACCTCATCATTAACTGAAAAACCCATGTGGGTGACATGTGACTTCTAATAGCTAAGGATTTTACTGAAAAACAATTTTGACGTATATGTGTCACTGAGTGTTCTAAACATTTCACCCACTGCTTTCTAAAATTGTATATCATACTTATTTAGGGCTCAGCAAGAAGAAGAAAATCCTTCCTGATCTTTGACCAAGAATTTCCTTGAAGTAAGGAAGCATAGTACCATATAACTTTAAAAATATTCCAATTATGACTTTACCATATTCAAGCTCAGTGCTCTTGACATCTTTACCAAACACTGTATCAATTAAAATCTATTCTGTTTCCAGGTCTAATTTACATGTTACATCCTCAGTGAAACTGGCCCTAATTTCAACAAGTCAGAATATAATCTTTATAAGGATAAGAAATATGTTTTCTTGATTATTTTGTTTTCTCAGTGAATTGGACATGTATTTAATACCATTTGCAGAACAAATGAATTAATGACTACTCTCTTCATGATCATTTAAGACAATTTTTATGATGGTATTTGAATTTATCATGAAATTCTACCCTTTTTCCCTTACTGCCACCCTGACTAATTCAATTTCTCCTTACCCCTAACCTAGGCAAATGAAAATAGTGTCCTTATCTCTTCAAAATCCAGTGTCTTCCTGCTCTAAGTCACCCCCTACACCAATAACAGGTCAATCTTTCTGAAACAAGGTCAAAAAAAATTAATAGCTCCTCAGAATTGGGCAAAACCTTGAGTCTGAAATGAAAGGGCCTTCATGGTATAAAGCTGCCCTACCTTTCTAAACTGAAGTCCCATTATGCTTTAGCTAACCCAGTTTTCCCAACAGTCATTCTATACTTTTGCAAACTGTTGTCTCTGCTCAAGCCATTTCCTCTTCCTTTCAATAGCTGTCTCTCAAAATCATACATACCCTTTTATTTTACCTATCTAATCTGATCTATCTTTTAAGTAGATTCTTCGTCCAATGTGGGGCTTAAACTCACAACCCCAAGAACAAGAGTCACATGCTCTACCGACTGAGCCAGCCAGGCGTCGCTACATATCCTTCTAGATCTATCTCAAATGCCGTGCCCCTGAAGACTTTTCTCATCCTTCAAGTTGATATAAGCCCTCTCTCCCTTTTGAAATGCATTATTTTGTATCTTTTTTATGTTATATAACAAAATCCTGCTCTGTAATTGTAGAACTTTTCCTAACTTTACTTCTAGTTTGTAAACTTTTTATTATTATTTTTTAAAGATTTTATTTATTTATTTGACAGAGAGAGAGAGAGCACAAGCAGGGGGAGCAAGAGAGGGAGAAGCAGACTCCCTGCCGAGCCGAGAGCCCGAAGCGGGGCTTGATCCCTGGGCCCCAGGATCATGACCCGAGCCAAAGGCAGACACTCAACTGCTGAGCCACCCAGGCGCCCACTAGTTTGTAAATTTTATTTAGAGTAAAGATTATATATCTTATTAGCTTCCCAATATATTCAATAGTAGAAGTAAATCAGTAAAACCTTGCTTTTATGCTTCCAATCCCATAATTGGCCTTCTAATCTGTTAATCTATAGTTTAGCCATAATTATATACGTCCTATTCACATGTAAAATATTGATCTCAGGATGTCTCATACTCTAAAAAAAGAAAGAGCATTAAATGCATATAGTGCTTATAATGCTATATATGTGTTCATATGACCCAGTGTTATGAATCCTATATTTTTCACATGATTTTCTCCCTCCCTGTAGAATTTTAAGTACCTTGACCTAGATGTCAAGGGCAACAGCTTTGTTTTGTTGTTGTTGTTGTTTTCCTATCTCCACAAAGGACCTAATCCTACCTGATAAAAAAGAATGGAGTTGGCAGTTGGAGAGGAGGTTATTTACCTGAGTAGAAGAGAAGCCCCCATATGCACTATGTTGCTTGGCCAACCAAGCCACTGTGGCAGTGGCCTTGGCAAGCTCCTTTTGAGTCAGGCTGGCTGTGCTAAGCTGGGCCAGTAATACATATGCTGTCAGTTCCACATCTACAGCCTCAGGCTGAGACCAAGGTCTGGCATCCACTGACGGAGCAGGCTTTGGGCTCCAGGGAGTGGACTCTCCTATGGAAAAAGAAGCATAACGAGGAAGGTCTTAAAAGGAAACGATTTCTCACATTCAGTTTGTAAATGCTGCACCTTAGAGCAGAGCAAGTACCAACCAAAAATTAAGCATGAGTTAGAAAAAAAAATTTCTCAAAATCTTCTGATACATTGGCCATAATGTTTCCACAGGGATGTGTGTGTACAGCGATACATCATTCCCCAAGATGAAGCTGAGAGGATCAAAAAATGCCTCCAGCAATTACATGAAAACCGCTCTTGTTAATTTATAAATTCTAATGCTAGTGGAGATAGGTAAGTAGAAACTTAGAAGAATCTTATGTATTTGGGAGCATTTTTTTTTGGCTTATAGAATTTTTTTTTTTTTTAAAGATTTATTGATTTATTTATTAGAGAGAGAGCATGAGAGGGGGGAAGGGCAGAGGGAGAAGCAGACTCCCCGCCAAGCAAGGAGCCCGATGCAGGACTCGATCCCGGGACTCCAGGATCATGACCTGAGCCGAAGGCAGTCGCCCAACCAACTGAGCCACCCAGGCGCCCTAGAATTTTAAGTCTAATTTTTCAGCCTTTATTTTACCTAATTAAAAGTTTAACATTTTTTTTAAAGATTTATTTATTTATTTTAGAGAAAGAGGGCGTGTGCAAGTTGGGGGTGGGGCAGAGGAAGAAGGAGAGAGAGAGCACGGAGCCTGACACAGGGCTCGATCTCACGACCCTGAGATCATGACCTGAGCTGAAACCAAGAGTGGGACCCTTAACCAACTGGGCGTGGAGCTTGCTTAATATTCTCTCTCTCCCTCTCCCTCTGCCCCTCCCCATCCTTCTCTCAAAAAAAAACAAAAACAAAGAAGCTCTAAGTTTCTAAGTTTAACTCTTACCCCGTCAACCTCAGTGATCTCATACCAAAGAACTGTTAAAGACCTACAAAAGGGTGATTCTACAACACCCATAGGTCTTCTGACTAGCTTCCACCATCTCATTCCTCTTCATGCTAAAAGTATAACAGTGCCTTTTAAGGACTTCCATGGGCTTTCTCACAAAACTCTCAACAATGATCTAATGACTTCACAACTCTTCCTAAAAGGAATCCTATATATGATAGAATGTATGTGGGACTATGGAGACTATGGAAAATTATAGGTGGGGTGCCTGGGTGGCTCAGTTGGTTAAGCGACTGCCTTCGGCTCAGGTCATGATCCTGGAGTCCCAGGATCGAGTCCCGCATCGGGCTCCCTGCTC